TTAGCTCAGAGACGTTTGTTATTACCCACCTTCTGAAGCCTGTTTCTGTCAATTCATCAGACTCATTCTCCATCTACCCTTGTTCCCTTGCTGGTGAGGTGAGGAGTTGTGATCCCTTGAGGAGGAGAAGCATTCTGGTTTTTGCACTGGTTTCCACCTTTGTGGATTTATCTACCTGTGGTCTTTTTAGTTGGTGACTTTCAGATGGGATCTCTGGGTGGACATCCTTTTTGTTGATGTTGAAGTTATTTCTTTCTGTTTTTTAGTTTTCCTTCTAACAGGCCCCTCTGCTACAGGACTGCTGGGGGTCCACTCCAGACCCTGCTTGCTTTAGGATCATCTGCAGTGGCTGCAGAACATTAATGGTTGCTGCCAGTTTCTTCTTCTGTTATCTTTGTCCCAGAAGGGTACCCACCAGATGTCAGCCTGAGCTCTCCTTTATGAGGCATCTCTTTGGATATACAGGTTCGGGGAGCTACTTGAGGAGACAGTTTGTCCCTTATCGGAGCTCAAGTGCTGAGCTGTGAGCTCCATTGTTCCATTCAGAGCTGCTGGGCAGATACGTTTAAGTCTGCTGCAGCAGAACTCATGACCACCTTTTTTCCCAGGTGCTCTGTCCTGGGAAGGTAGGCTTTAGTTATAAGTTCCTGAGGTGCTGCTGCCTTTTTTTCAGAGATTCCCTGCCCAGCAAGGAGGTAGTCCTGTCACAGTCTGCCAGCAGAGGCATTGCTGAGCTGCCATGAACTCTGCCCAGCTGCTGTTTGAACTTCCTTGGCATTTTGTTTACAGCAGTACAGTTAGAACTGCCTTGGTAACAGCAGTCTGCCTTAGTAGTGGTGGACTGCCTTGGTAAATTTGGATTGCCTCGGTAATGGCGGACTGCCTCAATAACAGTGGACTGCCTCAGTAATGGCTGACGCCCTTCTCCCCACTGAACTGGACCATCCTGGGTCCAGTTGCACTTGCTGCAAAACTTTTAATCCAGAGCATTTCAGATGGCTGGTCTTTGTGGGGATGGGACCCACCAAGCTAGATCACCTGGCTCCCTCTCTCAGTCCCCTTTTTTTCGGTTGAACGAGTGGCTCTGTCTCACGGATGTTCCAGGCGCCAGTTGAAACAGCTGCCCAGATTTGTGTGAGTTTTTATGTGGAGACCCACTGCGCCAGCTGAAACAGCTGTGCTGGAAACTCATGGTGCTTTTCAGCTCTGGAATCTCCTAATCTGTGGGCAGTAATAACTTGTTTGGAAATGTGGTGATCACTTACCCTCTGTGTTGTTCTCACTGGGAACTGAACTCCAGAGCTGTTCCTATTTGGCCATCTTGGATCCCAACTCCAATGTTGGCTTTTAAAATATTTCTTGCCCTGGCTTCCAGGGAACCACTTCTCTGAATTCTATAATTGTTCCTTCTCCCTTTCCTCTGTCTACCCTCAACTATTGTGCATTCTATTTTGCCCTTTGAAGTCCCTTCTCATCCTTCACAGAGGTGACAATTCCAGTCCAATGACATTACCACAGGCTAATGACTGACTCCCAAATCTCTCCCTCAGTCTCAGCATTCTCCCATTTTCTAAACTCAAATGCAAACTGAATATATCCACCTGGGTGTGCAGCATAATTCCCTTTCCCCTGAGCTACCTCCTAACTCCTGCTTTCCATAGCTTCGTACCTGGCACTGCTAGCTATCAAGTGCTCATGAAGAAACATGGAAAAGATTCTACTTCTTTTCTAAATACCTAATCCAGTTAGGATTGTGTTGTGTGCATTTCACTGAAGTATCTCTTTAAGACTATTTCCTTTGTCTGTCCTGCCTGGCTCTTTAACTATTTAGCTAATGGTTCTTTATTCACTTCCTCAAATAAGATGGCACCACGTTAAGAATCATATGAAATATTCTTTATTGCCCATAAAACTGATTGTAGTAACTTTCAGTTCTTTTTAAGAACATCTGGAAATTTAGGCCAGAACTTGATTTTATTAAAAGTTAGAATATAGCAATGAAATAGCACTTCACATCCATTAGGATGGTTATTATTTTTTAAAAAAATAAGAAAATAACAATGTTGGCAAGGATGTGGAGAAATAGAAACCCTCTGCACAGCCAATGGAAGTGTAAAATGATGTTGCCATTGTGGAATGCGGAATGCGATTCCTCAAAAAATTTAACATGAAATTATCATATGATTCAGTGATTCCACTTTTATGTCTATGCGCAAGAGAATTAAAAGCAAAGACTAGACCAGATATTTGTACACCATGGTTTATAAGAGTATTCACAATAGCCAAAAGTGGAAATGACCCAAAAAGCAATCAATGGATAAATGAATCAGCAAAACATGCTATATACACACATATAATGCAATATTTTTTGGCTTTCAAAAAATTAAAATTCTGATGCATACTATAACATGGATGAACCTTGAGGACATTATGCTAAGTGAAATAAGCGAGACACAAATGGCCAAATATGGTTCCCCTTATCTGAGGTACCTAGAATACTCAAATTTATAGAAACAGAAAGTCGAATAGTGGCTTCCAGGAGCTGTGGGGAAGGGCTCATAGGAGCTGTTTTTACTCAGTAGAGTACTATGTGGGATTATAACGAATGTCTTGGAGATGAACAGTGGTGATATTTTACAACATGAATGTATGTAACACTGCTGAATTGTACACATAAAAATGGTTAATATGGTAAATTTTATGTTATGTACCTTTTTCTACAATTAAAAAATATTAGACTGTATATATAAAATTTTTTAATACTTTCATTTCTTTAACGTTCTGGGAGAATTTACTCTGTCCTAAATGATACAAGGGGACAGGAACTAACTGAAGCAAGTGATCTCTTGGAAGAATCAGAGATGTCAATGGGCAATTTGAAATCGCTGGGTGAAAATAAATGGAAAGGATCTGTAGATGTGAGGGTGATCTGCCAAAACCTGCCGTGTCTGCTTGCATCTCTCCAGATGCTCAGCTTGAAATGGACTCTTCCTACTTCTGTTAAAAGAAACATTAACACAGTGCACCCAGGAACAAAATAGAACTATTCCCAGGCCAAAAAAAAAAAAAAAAAAAAACACATGTTTAAAACACATGCATTTGTAGAGTAATTGCAAAGCAATCCAAAGGCTAAGTAACAGACAAAAGCAATTCAAGATCAGAATAAAGTCTTTGGGAGCTCTAACAGGGAAATATGTGTTTCAGTGTGAAGTGCCAAAGTAAATACAGCATGCAAACCCAAAACTGCTTATCTGTGTGGTTTTCATAGTGTCAATATATATGCAAAGTTGGTCTGGCTGCACTGAAAGCCATTAAAGGTCATGGAAGTAAAAACAAAAGTCAGACTGTCTGTGTGAACCTTTGGCAAGCAAACGCCAAGTTTCTTCGGCACATTCTCAGTTCTGAAGAAGTGAGCGAGAGGTGGCAGTAATGGTCTTTCTCTTTCTCTCTCCCTCTCTGCCTCTCTCTCTTTCTTTCTCAATTGTAAATTAAAGCATTATTTTCTTTGAGTCCCAGCAAATAGAATTCAATATTACAGTGAAAGTTACCAATGAAAGAGATGTCCTGTTCTTTTAAGTATCTATTTACTGTAATGCGTATTGCACCATAGTTAAAATGAGAACTTTTTCCTTTTAAATTGACCTGCTTTGGGGAAAATACAGGCAATCCCTTCAAAATATCCTCCTTCTTGTCAAATCAAAATTGCTTCAGATAAGTAAAGACCACAAGAATACTCACTGTAGCCACATAGAATCAGGATGCCAGAAATAGCAGGTCACATATTTTTCTTTAGTTGTGCAACACAGCTTTTTAGTACAGATCAGGAAGCTGCTGAAATGTTAGGTAGATAAGGATAACAAATTATACTGGTTGAAAAAGGAGCTACACTCAGTGGGATGAATTTGCCGTGGTATTTACGTTCACTTGGCAACTGGGTACTGGAGATTTTTTTGTTTGTTTATTTTGTTTTGTAGCAGGGGTGGAAAAGTATGGAAATGAAGCAGTATGTCAATTTTACAAGCATTTATGGAATGACTACTATATGTGGGGCACTCTGCTAGGTACATTTGTGAGTTACTTAAAGCTCACAAATGTTGAGTAATTTTCCCCAAGGTCTCATTGCTAATAAATAACAGAACATAGGCCTTTGTAATTCTAAAGTCCATGTTTTTAACCTCTATTCTAAGTTACCACTCAATTACATTTGTTAAAAAGGCAAGGTTCTGCATTATATATTCCTGTATCTGGACTTCCCTCATACTCCTGGATCAGAGTTCTCCCCAACACAATTTCCCTTTCCTCAGTCCTCTCTTGTGAACCAAGGCAGTCAAGAGGTCTTACTCATTGATGCTGGTTACAAGTTCCACGCTGCTGCTACTAAAACTACTATTGCTACAGTTAACAGCACTAGTTCTATTATAATGTTACTGTTACTAACAATGAGATTGATAAAATACATTGAGTACTTACTGTCTGGATGGAACTCTGATAAGAATTTTGCACTTGATCTTAGCCAAAAGGCCAAGATTGCTAGAGATTTTGTAAGCCTTATTTCATGTTAACACTTTCAAAGGTAGTTGGAGGTGCATGTGCTGGAAATAGACTTTTCTGGGTTAGGTGCTAGCTTATTTATTCATTAGCTGTGTGACCATGGGCAAGTTGTTTAACTTTCTGGATTCCTGATTTCTGCATCTATAAAAATGGAAATAATAAAAATATCTAAGAGAAGTCTGGGGGAAATTAAATAATGTAATTTAAAGAAATGGCTAGCACACCTGATAAATATTGGCTATCAGTTGTCATCACTATTAATAAAAATACTATTAATAGTTTCAGCCATTGGTAAACTCCCTGTCATGTTCATACTGCCCAGCTATGAAGAATTTCATGTTGGTTTATTTTTTATAACTATTTTTTTTTTAATTTCAGTTCCCTATCTGAAGCCCTGTTTTGATCTGTAGTCCAATTGTCTGGATTCTTAGCACTCTGTTTTATTACAGGGGACTGGATCCTGTCCATAACTGCTGACCAGTTTCTGGATGGGCTGCTGCACATCACCCACTTTTGCCTAAGATCTCACCTAAGGTAGAGCATGCATCATTATAGTTACAGAGGATTCAAAGATGAAAAGAAATAGTTGTGTCCTAAAACAACTTAAAATCTTTATAAAATCAGAAATATATCAAACATAACTTACACATCTCCTTAGATCCCAGTGGCCTTGCCTCCCATGCCCCCCAGGCCATTAGCTTCTCCTTGGAAGCCTCTGTGGTACACTTACTCTATTACTCATGTAATTCTGCTGAATGCAGACAACTAATTGCTTCTCCAAGAATATTAGCCCTCTGCCTTGGTTGCCACTGAGCAACCAGATAACCAGCCATTTGCTCAGAGTCTCTGGCTGCTTCTGCCATTTATGTGTTCAGATGAAACACTTCACCACAGGGCATGGTTTTTGGCTTCCTGATCAGCCAGATATTACATCTGGAAGTACAGGAAAATTAACTCCCTGTGGGATCAATTTGAGCCAAAGTAGGAAAGCAAGTAGTAATTCTCTCTCCTCTCTCCCTTCCGACCTCAGTTTTCCAGTGTAGCTGAGCAAAAAACATAGCAAGGGATTCAGTCTCTCTATGGCTTATTTTGAAGCAGTGGCTAGCATGATTACCTTCTATTACTTCTCATCCTTCCCAAGCTCACTTCCTTTTCCCTCACTCTCACTGCCTTTGGATTGTACCTTCCATACAAAGTTTAATCATGTAATCCTCGCCTCAGGGTCTGTTTCCTAGGGAACTCAGGCTAAGAAAAACATGGGTAGAACCATTAGGCACATTCTGATAACCTCCCTAATAGAGTTACCAGAAGCACTTTGGGAACCTGGAGGAGGAAGAGAAGATTAATTTAGCTGGACCTTAATACCAAGAATGGTTAATATTTACTACTTGCTAAATGTCAGTCACTAGTGAGCTTCACACATCTTATGATTTTCCTCATTTTGCATATGAGTAAGCCAAAGCATAGCAAAGTTAAATAACTTACCCCAGGTCATACAGCCTACTAATAGAAGAGTTTGGATTCAAATTTTACCATAAAGCCAATGCTCATAATTACTTGTCTTTGAAAATGTTATGCAAAATGCAATGAGGGACCGGGCTTGGTGGCTCACGCCTGTAATCCCAGCACCTTGGGAGGTCAAAGTGGACTGGTCCCTTGGGTCTAGGAGTTCAAGACCAACCTCTGGGCAACATGGTGAAACCCCGTCTCTATTGAAATGTTTTTTAAAATGCAGTGAGGGAAGCTAATCAAATTGAATAGACTCTGGAGCTTAAACATTTGAGACTGTTGAGCCAAAGAATGAAAGGAGAGTCATTAGGCTTAAGAGAAGAGAAGAGATGGAAGAAGGAGGGATCCTGATGTAGCCTGGTGTTCTTTATTCCTCCTCACACAGACCTCTCACCACAACTTTCCCCTTCTCCAACACACACTGCACACTAACATAACTGAACAGTTTTGTCTTCAGGGTTCACATGTAACCCAGCATTTCCCTCCCACGAACTCTGTTTGCCTAAAAGAAAAAAAGAAAAACATACACTTTGCAGATAAATCCTGTCATTCCACATTAGAGATAAGGAGCTTCTAAAAGCAAATATCAGACTTCATTTTAGATATAAATGATGTTATCAAACTCTTTCCTGTTTTGATGGAGGAGGACAGTTAGAAGGCAAGAAAGCCCTGGGTCCCTGAAAGGGACAGAGCGATCTGGAGGCAGGAAAGATGACCTTACTAATTATACGATCTATTCATGGTTCTTCATGGTTCATCTTCATCTGAGACCAAGCAAGAAAGAGCTGGGCATAGCAGTCCTGTGGGGCCATGCTTTGACAAATCATCATGGAACCAGTGATCAGATAATAAACATAAGCAGAGATCTAATCCATGAAAGGACATTTATAAAAAATAGAATTCTGTTTGGAATGTCAACTGTTTTAAACAAGCAGAATTGTAATCAGATGCTGGGTATTATGAAACTTAATGACTGTTACAGTTCAAATTGAGTTTCAACAAATGTTATTACAAGAAAATATAGAAAGACATCATTTCTAAGCTTAATCTTGGAATGATAGTCAATTTAGTTAGAAAAATATTTGTTATATTTTATCAGTCAATAATGGATACAATTATAGAGTTCATTTTATAAGGCATACCCTATATGTGTGTGAGATACTAGTGAGGAAGATAAATAGGAAATGTCAATATTTGAAGTAAAAAATTACACCCCTCTGAAATACCAAAGCATAGCTTTTAAAATAAAATTTCCCATGTGTCTTAGTCTATTTAGACGACTATAACAAAATGCCGTGGACAGGATAATTTATAAACAACAGAAGTTAATTGCTCCTAATTCTGGAAACTGCGAAGTTCAAAGTTAAGGCACAAGCAGATTCAATGTCTGCTGAGGGCTTTGCAGATGACACCTTATTGCTGTGTCCTCACATGGCAGAGGAGACAGAAGGAGTAAACAGGCTCCCTCAAGCCCTTTATAGGGGTGCTAATCCCATTGATGAGGGTGGGTGAATTCGTAAGGCCTCTCCTCCAAGGCTCCGCCTCTTAATGCCATCACCTTGATGGTTAGGTTTCAACATACGAATTTTGGAGGAATACAAACATTCAGACCATAGCATCATATACATTAATTTTTAAAAAATTTTTTCCACTTTGTTTCATATCCCTATGTGTTTGATGTTTCTAGTCATATCACCATTTTGAACAAAGTCAGCAACTTATTAGTGCTGTTCCCTAAGCCTGTGCATCTTGTAGTTGTTCAATACCATAAGGATCCCCATGCTAATGAATGCTTTTAATTACATCCTATTTTGCAAACATTTGGATATTTGTTTGGCTAAATTTAGTTAACCAACCAGTCAGGGAAAGATCACATGGCTGCATTGTATGACTGTCTTCCATGAGACAAGAGAAACCTATTTCATGATGGTTAAAAGCTCCCCATGGTCCCACAAGCTAATTAAAATAAATTAGAGTCATGCTTAGTAACAATCGGAGATTAATATTTAGTTTAAAGTAACTAGTTTTAAATTACATTTTTGTGTGTTTTCCACAGTTCATTAAAATCATTTTTATATCAAATTTGAGTAACATAAAATGTTAGCTTTTCTATTTTTGCTATAAAATAATTATCACAGGTTGGGTCAAGGGCAGAGTCTCATGCCTATAATCCTAGCCTTTGGCAGGCTGAAGTGGGTGGATCACTTGAGGTCAGGAGTTCAAGACGAGCCTGGTCAACATGGCAAAACCCTTTCTCTACTAAAAGTACAAAAATTCACGAGGCATAATGGTGTACACCTGTAATCCCAGCTACTTGGGAGTCTGAGGCATGAGAATCGCTCAAACTTGGGAGGTAGAAGTCACAGTGAGCTGAGATTGCACCACTGCACTTCAGCCTGGATGGTGGAGTGAGCCTCTGTCTCAAAAAAAAAAAAGTTTCTCAGGGTGCGGTGGCTCACACCTGTAATCTCAGTGCTTTGGGAGATAAAAAAGGGAGGATTACTTGAGGCCAAGAATTCGAGTGCAGCCTAACAATAGTGAGACCCCGTTTCTACAAAAAATTTAAAAATTAGCCAGATATGGAGGTGCATACTTGTAGTCCTAGCTTCTCAGGAGGCTGAGACAGAAATTTCATTTGACCCCAGGAGTTAGAAGCTACAGTAAGCTACAATTGTGCTGCTGCACTCCAGCCTGGGCAACAGAGCCAGATTCTGTCATTAAAATAAATAAATAAAAATTATCACAAATTTAGTGTCTTAAAATAATGCAAATTTGTTATCTCACACTTCTACAGGCCAGAAGTCCAGTATGGGTTGCTTCCGTATGGCTCTAGGAGAAAATCACTTCCTCACTCATTCAGGTGTTAACAGAATACAGTCCCATGTGGTTGAAGGACTGAGGTCCCCAATTTCTTCCTGACAGTGCACTGAGGGCCATTACAGTGGCTGTTTAGAGGCCACTGTAGTCGCTGGTTCATGGCCCCTTCCTCTGTATTAAAAGCCAGACATGTTGGGTTGAGTCTTTGTTGCGTCTCTTTCTGACCACAGCAAGAAAAAGTTTTCTGCTTTTAAAAATGCATGTGGTTCAATTGGACTCACCTTCATTGCCCAGGATATTCAGGACAGATAGTCTCACAATCTGAAGGTCCATAACCTTAATCGCATCTATAAATTCCCATTTGCCATGTAAGAGGACATATTCACAAGTTCCAGAGATTAGGACGTGGACATCTTTGGGGGCCATTATTCTATGTACCACACATGAGGAAGCACGTGGATGGTGGAGGGAAGAAAAATTCTACAGGAAAGAACTATGTTTTACGCATTTTTTTCCCTGCAACATGTCTTCCAGACATTGTCCGGGTAAGTGGTTTATAACCCTTGAAATGGCACACTTCCTGATTTACAGCACATAACTTAACGGTTTACAGTGCAATTGAAGAAGACATCTATCATGAAGCATGCCACGCTGGCAGTGTTCTCTTTTGTTAGAAGGTCTGTTGGCCTCCCCTCTTTAGGGTATTACGCCAACCAGCATCAAGAGCCTCCTGGCTTTCGGACCTCATGGTCTGACATCGGGATCTTACAAACTGCCCTAAATGTTCAAGTTGAACTACAGCATTTCTCCAGAAATATATAGCCTTTCTGGAGAATCTACTCCAAACAATAGGGGAGGCTAATTATGGGTCTCTCTAGGGGATTAAAGTTACTTTTAGGTGGACTCCAATGAGAATATGATTTAATCCAGTTATTTCTTATAGTCTGATCACCAGACTTTTCTGGTGGTCATTTTTTAATGTGGATCCAGACCATCGATTTAAGTTACTAGACTGTTGCAGGAACCTTCTAACTCATTTCCCTGCTTTCAATCTCTCTCCACAATATCTTATCCTCTATATTATCAGGACAGCGGAAATTCACAACGTTTTAGTGTTTAATATCCCTGAGGAATCCACTACCCTTCCGTTAGAAACAGTGCCTCATAATGGTGGTACTTCTCAACACAAAGTCTGTAAAGTTTATTTT